GTGCCCTTACCAGTAGCTGTGTGGTGCCGTTTCCTTTCGTAGCGTCTCATGCCGTCTAGAGGCGGAGCTGTGCCGTGCACGGCGCAGGGTGCTGTTCCAGCTGAGGTGGGCAAAGAGAAATACAGCAGAATTGTTTGCTTTTAAGCAGCTGCCCAAATCAGATATTCCAATGAAAATGCACCGACGTTATCTGAGGAGGGGGGTTTGTCTGCACCCAGAGCTGAACTGTTATATCCCGGCTTGGCTTTGGGAATGACTAACGGTGTCTCAGTCCCTGCTCTGAGACTGAGACTGTTAGCAAGTTGCTGCCCTGCTGGTGAACTGGGGCTGATTATGCAGCCCCCGGGCGTTGCGCTGTGCGAGCCACAGGTGGAAAAACGGGGCCTGCGACGTGCTGGGCAGAGGCGAAGGCCCGGCTGATGCTGGAAAGCTTTACGGGTGTGGGATGGGGCTGTGATTTTGTGTCTGCACAATATTATACCAGGAAAAGCTCTCAAGTGTACTCCTTATACCAGTGAAAGGGTGAGCCAGACCCTTTCTGCACAGGAAAATCAGGGCCATTACAAAACTCCCATGTATCAATATCCTCGGGGTCGTTCACGTGAATGCGAATTTGGTGCAACTTTCTGATGTAAACGAGCCCTGATGTTCCCCTGACGTTCCTCCACGGAGCTGTCTGCATGTGACCCGGGGCAGGGGTACGGGTCTGGCTAGCGCTGACGTCGCCTTTCTAACCTCCGGTTTCGTTCCAGGACTCCTCCTCGCTGTGCTCTCAGAAGGGTGGTATCATCAGACAGGGCTGGCTGCACAAAGCCAACGTCAACAGCACCATCACGGTTACCATGAAGGTGAGCTGAATGCCAGACGGGGCCCTATCAGAGCAGTGATGGGGGAATGGGGTGGAGCCATGTCACTGAGGGTCTCAGTCCAAATCCAGGTTTCCGAGAACTAGGGGCCATCAGATAAAATGAATAGGCAGCAGGTTTAAAACAAACCAAAGGCAGTTTTTCTTCATGCAGACCACAGTCAACCTGTGGAACTCCTCGCCAGAGGAAGTGGTTAAGACCAGGACATTAACAGGGTTCAAAAAAGAGCTAGATAGATTCCTGGAGGTCAGGTCCATCAATGGCTATTGGCCAGGATGGGTAGGAATGGTGTCCTAACCTCTGTCAGAGGCTGGGAATGGGCGACAGGGGAGGGGTCACATGATGATTCCCTGTTCTATTCACTCCCTCTGGGGCACCTGGCACTGGCCACTGTGGGCCGACAGGACACCGGCCTGGATGGACCTTTGGTCTGACCCAGTCTGGCTGCTCTGATGTTCTTATGGGTCTGGTCTGGGCCCCTCTGTGGCTCTCACGGCACCTCGCTCTGGAAGAGTTCCTTTCTGTGGGGTGGTGTCTGCTGCTTTGAATCCCCAAGGGCAGGCTAGGCGAAGAGGCCGTGCGTGTGCAAGCCAGCCCACGACCGCTTTCTGGATCCGCGTCGGAGGACAATTGAATTAAGCAGACCAGCTGTTCTCCAGAAGGGGGGGCGCCTCTTGAATGCTGCTTGGCTTGTGGAGAGAGAAGAAGCGCTCGGCCAGCCTTGCTGCCTCTAAGCAGCGAGTGTCCGTGCGGGACGCAGCCCTCGCCACTCAGCCTTGGGGGAGGAGAAGAAGCGCTCGGCCAGCCTTGCTGCCTCTAAGCAGCGAGTGTCCGTGCGGGACGCAGCCCTCGCCACTCAGCCTCCCCTGCGGCACCTTTGCCCAGTCCGGGATCCGCTTGTCACGCCAGCAAACAGCTGCGTTCGGTGCCGGAGGAGAGACTGAGCCGGTGACAGCCCGCGGAGGGGCGTCCAGTCCCCGTGGCTGCAGGACTCGGGAGAGAAGACCCCCCCCCGTCTTTGGCTGGGCAACTCCACACACTCACAAGCGTTGGGTGCCTGGCGTTCCCCCGTCCAGCCAGGTGCAGAAGCAGCGGCCTGACTGCCAGCCCAAGCTGCGATCCCCTTGTCTGACCTCCGGCGGCCGACAGGCCAGCGGGCCAGTCACTGCGGCAGTCAGCCCCTAACGCCTGCTTGCGCCACAGCGTGTCAAGAGACAGCCTTTGGTGGGAGGCACGTGCTGCGGGGGGCCTAAATGCTCAGCACCTCGGGGCTGAAATTCAGGTGCTGAGCAGCTGCAGTCCCATGGACATAGCTGGAGTTGAGGGGGTGTGACGGGGTGTGCCTAACCCACACTGGGTCAGTGCAGGGAGGAAGCCCCACCCCACGGCTGCACTGGGCATGCTCCAAGGGCTAGGGTGGTATAAAAGGGAGCAGCTCGGCTCAGCCTGGGCTGGACGCTGGAGGAGAAGGACCTGCTGTAAGAGCTCCAGAAGTGGACCAGCCAGAAGGCCTGGACATTGGGAACTAGAGACTACATGGAGCATCCCCAGGCTGACTCCGGTAGGAAGTGCCCCATGGAGGGTGCATGAGTGGTATCTCCCACCCGAGTGAGCTCCGTGTGTTGCGGTTGGATTCCCCACTGAGCAAGTAGTGGGGCAGTCTGCCACTCACAGGGCCCTGGGTTGGGGCACAGTGGAGTAGGGTGGGCCTGGACCCCCCTACTGGGGCTGCTGCCCCAAACTACTGACTCTAGCCATTAGGCTGTGCTGCCCTGACCCAAGGGCCATCATTACGACTGACTTTAGCCATTAGGCTGTGCTGCCCTGGGCTTAGGGCCGTTGCTATTGACTCTAGCCATTGGGCTGTGCTGCCTCGGGATGAGGTGTGCTTGTAATGCGACAGTGTGCAACACCCCTACAGATCAGGCTCATGTTATTTATGGGTTGACTCAAAAATGAAGGCACCCAAATCTAGTGTCCACTGGTGGAAACTTTGGTTCTCATCACGACCCATCTCTGATGCCTGAGGCTCGAGTTCTGAGAGAGCAGCAGTGCCAGGACGGTCTGATGCCCTCCAGACCAGCCCGTTGAATTATCATTGAAATGCTGCAGAAGATTTGCCGTGATCTCACTTCCAGGCTCCTCCCTTACAGCGACGTGCCAGGCAGCGGGGACTGCAGGCTGTTGCTAAGCTTGTACAGAATGTTTTCCATGGTGAGCCAGTTTAGGAACAAAACTTAATTAGGCTCCAGTGGACTGCGTTTGCTTCAGAGTAATCTTATTCCTTGCAGTGCACAAGAAGCAATGGGCTTAAACTGCAGCAAGGGAAGTTTAGGGTGGACGTTAGGAAAAACTTTCTACCTGTCGGGATGGTTACGCACTGGAATAAGTTGCCCAGGGGGGTTGTGGAATCTCCATCCCTGGAGATATTGAAGAGCAGGTTAGACAGACACCTGGCAGGGATGATCTAGACGGTGCTTGGTCCTGGACTTGATGACCTTGCGAGGTCCCTTCCAGTCCTAGTGTTCTAGGATTCTGTGATTCTGGCAGATGCATTGTCCAGCCTGACTCCGGTTAGTTTGGATTCTGGTGCTCCCCGATCCAGTTTAACTCATGGCATTCACTTTCTTTTTTTCCTTTTGGATCTCCCCGGTTCTCTGGCTAGCCCTGTACAATTGTTTTGGCTGCATCTGAAACTGCCCCAACTCCCCCCGCCTCTCCCCCCCCCACCGATTCTGTGATTCTGGCAGATGCATTGTCCAGCCTGACTCCGGTTAGTTTGGATTCTGGTGCTCCCCGATCCAGTTTAACTCATGGCATTCACTTTCTTTTTTTCCTTTTGGATCTCCCCGGTTCTCTGGCTAGCCCTGTACAATTGTTTTGGCTGCATCTGAAACTGCCCCAACTCCCCCCGCCTCTCCCCCCCCCACCT